GATCAATTAAAATATATGCTAGAGTCTCTCTGGTACGTACCTACATAATAATATATGTACGGATAGGGCACATGGAATATGTACTGGACAATGAGATAAATACTTTAAGGACCATTACCGATAAAGTTGAAAACTAAAGCATTACATATTTGCCTCACTCCCTGTCTAACCAAAGCCTCAAACATGGCCGCTTAAAAAGTCACAAGTACAAAAAAAAATATTTTAAAGGGCAAAACAAACAAGCTTCATCATTATCATAAAGATTGAGTAAAAATGCTTAGATAAGACACTAAACTAAAACAATAGAAATAGTCAAAGAAATAATAAAATTAAAAATGAAAGTGGGCTGCCATGTTCAAACAGTCACAGACCATAGGGTTACAAACTGTTATCAATATATAAGAAAGAAGAAGAACCCGCTAAAAGAAGGAGCGATATAGCAGAAGTAGCTGGAATACTATGGCTGAGACTGGCACGGGATAGAATCTGTTGGAGTAGTTTGGTTGAAACTTTTACCGTTAAAGATGGCCCTTAGAATGAACGTAACATAACATACTGTGATAATATTATACTAACACTACTGATACTCATAGGTACCAAGATTAAATTAAAATGTAAATATACTGTATTGTGATACAATCAACAACTATGCGTAGTTGTGTTACTGTTGTTATTAAAACCGTAAATGAAAAGAAATGGAAACCAAATAAAGTTGAAAAACAAAAGGTACACTTTTGGTTATAAAAATTACTTCAAAGCTCGTGATTAATTGCTGACGCAAAGCACCAAAATTAGTTATTAACTGTGCGGAGGTAAAAAAGCTCGCGCGAGTGACCTCACTCGGCGGCGGGAGCGGTGACGTCACTCATTTGCATCAAAATGGCCGTGCGCAGGCGCCGAAGGAGCACGGCCTGCTGACGCTATGGCCCATGAAATTTGCGAGACATTCCATTTGATGATAATAATAAACAAACTTCTTGCAATGAGTAACTTTAGAATATGGAAATAAATTAAGTAGACATTATAAATAGACTGTGATAGAGCCACGCAACAGTTCGATGTTGCACGAATGAGCAGGTCCGTCCGGGGTAGTACCACGACCTCAGTGTGGCAGTGTTACACTTCTGCGTTTCGTCTGCTGTGTGAGGTAGCAGGGGCGACGACGATTTACTTACTAATAACTTTGATTTCTTGTACATATAGCATTTGTTTGAAACCACAAACGTTTCGAATATAACAGCATACTTGTCTGCGCATCAGACTTATATGCATCGGAAACGTATGCTCTGTAAACTGGAAAAATTACCTCATCAAGAATTATATTGCCAGCAACATAAAACGATGTACATGATAATATCTCCTCGATTGCTAATTTCGCAAACTTAATTTTATCCGGAATAAAAACCACCGTAGCATGGAAGCAACAGCGCAAGGCTGTACCATAAGCGCTTCACTTAGCCTGCATTCTATGCTGATGAGTGACTTACTAACAATGTAACCAATGCCGGTATGTTATCGATACCGCATTAAGCATACATGACTATTGAAGTAATAAAGGAAAGTTATTAACTAGAACTGTAACCGATTTTCTTAGAGGACCACTACGGTGATAGTATTAGTAACAGCGTAAGTAACTTAACTTTCGTGTGACATTACTGATACGCAGATGCTGGTTTTCCAGCTGGAAAAGATTATGCTATTTCAGTTGATTGGTATTCCGTACCTCAACCCGATGTTATAATAAAGGCTTTTCTCCCGTTTATGGTTCTTCGAAACGAGTACCGCAGTTCGAGTGTACATAAATTTATCACGATTATATTTGTGTGATATTTTTATATACATATTTAATGTGTCGTTTAGTGATCCTCCAAATTCATAAGAGTAATAAAAAAATAAAAAAGATTGATTATTGTCACATGACATAAATTTTAAAAAGAATATTTAATATTATTAATATTGTACAGTTTGTATATTTTCGTGTAGGCTATAGGATAGTCAGGTCTTAAGAAATATACGTTGTAATCTCTACTGTAACATTGAAAATGACCGACTACACTATATTGAAATAAAATGACATTTAATGATAAGGGCAGAACAATGTCTCTTTTAGCGACATATACGAAACATATTTCATGTGTTTAGAGTAAATATATTTGGACAAAACATTTTTCTATCATTATTTTTTTCTAAATTGAACAATCTTTACGGATCTCGCGTTTTATTTAAATTAACAGCGTTTACGGAAAACAAAGTGCAATTTTGTCGCATAAGCGAATAAAGTGGGTTCATTTGGATCTCAAACTCAAACTCAAATTTCTTTATTCAATATATAAGCATTACACTTACTTATTGATTGTCAAAAAACAGTACTATCCATATCACAAGAATATTAAAGAAAATATTCTCGTGATCCAAATAAGATAGAGGAGTTACAGTGCTATTCGTTCGTTGCAAAATTGTTGAGGCTGCTTGAATATGGGTTGTACCACAGCCTCTCGCTACATCCTATACGTCTAGTTTACACAGCCATTTATTCATAGGGGCCGACTAATCGACCGGAAGAACTACTTAAACATACGACATCTATGTAGCGATCGTACATATATGTGCATACATTTACAGCTGATGTCATCAGGAAGAAGGCTGTATAAATAATCTTAAATGGCACCTTTCTTAAAATGAGTGTGCGATTATGACATTGAAAAAAACAGCAGTGAAAGTATACGGCGTGTCGTTACAACAGCGACAATAAATTAACACGCGTCTAACGCTACTTGCCAATAAACATAAAAAAATATAAAACGTTAAAAAAATCCATAATTAAAAAAATATATTTTTCAAACAAACTAATTAAATAAAAAAGAAACAAAATTTTTAACATCCACATATACAACTACAACTGACTGATTCATACATTCAGAGACTTTTTCATTCCTTGCTACAACGTCGCATTACAAGTGTCTCCTTCTAACAGTATGTTTTATCTCTTTTAAATTCATTCAAACCATTCATATGCTTTGTGACCTTTACAAATGAACTTTAGGTTACAGTTTTATACGTAAGGGTGGTCCAAATATGTTTGTTTTGTAAAATTTAATAACTCACTTAAGTAATTCACCTCACGTCCCTGTTATTTCTCGCTCCCTTAATATATATATATATATATATATATATATATATCATCCTCATAATCATCCCCCTGCCCTTACCCCCCCTAGGTGGGGTCGGCACAACATGTAGATCATGTTTTAAGCGGTTTTGGCTAAGATTTTTACTACAGGCCGCCAGCCTGACGTCAACCCTCCTTGGGAAACAAACACCCAGAAAAGTTACCTGTGGGTCACACAAACATTGTCCCGTGTGAGAATCGAACCCACGACCCCAACGCCGAAGCCAATAGCTGAGCAACGGCGCCATCGAGTCATCGCTACCTTAATTGATTGAAAGATAATCCCTCCCTAAATAATCTATCAGCATTATAATTATGTGCCCGAAAGATATTGCTTTTGGGCACGCAATTAATATGTGCCGCTTTTAAAACAAACAATGGGTTGGTTGTGGGTTTGGGTGTTCACTAAGAGAAATTAATAATTTGCCCCTTCAAGTCATAAGCTGAGTGTGTGCACAACATTCAATTGAAATGTATTGTTCCAACCCAAGGTCAGACATTCTGAATCACGTCTGCCTCCGCAGGGATATATTCTCGTTACATTCCATGTGAATTCGGCGACGAGTGACCGCGTAGTAGTAATTTTGATCACCGGTCATCATCGGGTCGCGCCGATGGGAACAATGGCGGCCGATTTGAAAACATCGTCAATTTACAAACAATAATGGCGGTCGCATGAACAGCGCCACTCCGTCGGCAGAGGCGTACTGGGAAGCGACGTGACGTTACCACGTTTCAACTTTCGGACAAACTGTTGTCAACAGTCGAAAGTTCGCATGGCGTTAACGTTTTCGCACGGCAGCCTAACAAATAAGGGTCCTTACATTATTGAACAATTTCTTTCTAGTGAACGAGACTTATTCTGTATTTTTTATGTGAGGAAGTAGCACGCGAGTTGGTGGTTCACCTGATGTTAACCGATAACCGCCTCTCATGGACATTTGCAACACCCACTTCTAACGCTACATAAATGCGTTGCCAATAAAGTAGGCCCCGGCTACCTCACTCGCCAGACGAAACGCAGAAGTGTAACATTTCTACTTCACGCCGGTGTTCTGTGAGTTCGTGGTACTTCCCCGGACGGACCTATCCATTCGTGAGACAGATAAGACTGTGCTTGACCCTACCACGGTTGTATCAAACTATGACCCCTTTAAATATCTTTGGCACCACAGGGTTCGAACCTCGGACCTAATGTTATGGCTGTTTTACCCTTAAAAATAACGTTGTAACTTAGACATATAACAACTGCGTACTCGATTGTATTGAATGCGATATAGGCTATGATTCAATCAGATTAATCGAAGACAGAGGATGGTGGAACAATACTTGTTGTAAAAATAAAAAATAATATAAACCAAGAAATTGAAATGAACTGAATTATTTATCCAAATCAGTCCCGACTGTTTTGGATTAATAAATAATTCCCGATATTCCCGAATAGACGAGAATCCGGTAAACAATATTGAAAATCGCAATTACTTTTAAACTATCAGGAGCGAAATAAAAAGAGAAGATGATAGTTAAATCATGTCTACTTGTTGCCTCAATGACCGCTTCTAACTGCGAAAAAATAAAAGGGCAAGTGTTGTCTGGTTTGTCACCCTTTCACACAGTAATAGAGTAACAGACCGACACGATTTCATCGGGATTTAATGGACTAGAGAGTAACACGGGACACATTTTATTGTACAAATGTGGGTAATATGCGGAGCGTAATTCTAGACACGAGAGCGAAACCGCGAACGTGTATTTATTTTACAATTACATCTTTCAATTAAATCAATTGTTATACCATTAACTTTTGAACGTGCTAGTATAGGCTTAGTATATGCTGGAGCTTCCATTGCGTGGTAACCAAGACGCCTCTATCGGCGATGGTCTCGGGTTTCGGGCGGAGGCGGCTTTCGCGGAAGGGTCGGATGCTTGCGTTTGTGCTAGCCTTGCACCGGAGGCACGGGAGGCTCCGCAGAGGGATTGGAGGGAAGTGGGTATCGGCAGACAGAGACACCCCGCCGGTGCTGCGCAGGCGCACACCGCCGCCAGTGATCGCTCGGTCGCCGAACGCACCACACGCGCACCACGCCCCGCAACCGATCCGAGAGACAAGGAAAAACAAAACAGACGGACCGACCTCAAGTGACCCCAGTGCGCCGAGCGGCCGGCACGAACGAACCCGACCCCACGAAGAGACCACACGCTTCGTCCAAAATAATCCCGACTAACGTAGCGACTAACATCTGATTCGATACAACATCTAAAACGTGGAGCTGATAGGATAGTGTAGTTTATAAATGCTGACAGGCTGCTAGGGCTAGAAGTCGCCCCGCAACCAGGTGAGTAATTATAACGTAATAATAATGTAATTAAAGACGCGCGCACGTGAATCATAACTTTTAGGGCGATGGCTTTTAACGGATTTATTTCGAAGACGACCGTGGTATGTCATATGGCGATTGTTACCTCATTATGGTCTATCTGATTGCGTACATTTTATATGTGTAATGTCTATTTGTGCTGTTTACTTATCCTTGCGGATATTGTTTCATTTATTTACATCATGCCAGTGTCAAACATTGAAGGTAGATGGAAATTAAAAGTATTTTTACGGACCATTTGCAAGTGTTAATTAATGCTTATTATTTTAACGTTTCAAAAAGGAAGTCGTAATAATAATTATTCAATATAATGTAAGGCTCGAAGGCTATTGATAATCTGTCGTAACTAGATCGTAATGCAAATTATTTACGTAAACCGTAAGTTATAGTTTAAACCAACAAAGTTTTGGTCAAATGTTTTGGTGTTGAAAGTCGACAATGCGATGCGCGCTAGAGGAATGCGCCCGGCTTCGCCCGCATTGTATTAAAACAAATATTGCTCGGGTGATTTTCGGTGGATGTTTACACACCTGTGTTCTTTACTCCTTAAACTTTTTATGTGGACCAGAGGAATTTCCTTGCGTCTCGTGTTGACGTTTGAATATCAATGTCCTTATCTTCACTAATACATATTAATTAGCCTGCTCATTTGCATACGGGCCGTATTTATATTTTCCTATGGATATAGCTTATATATGTGACATTTTCAAGGTCTTTTTTTTCTTTTGCTTAATCTCAAGTGTGATCGTGTCTGTTCGTCAGCGCGACTTTGTTTTGGTGATACTCAGTAGTAACTAACACGTTTCAAGTCAAGTGACGCAAGGAATGCATACTGAGTCAATAAGAAAGTGGATACCGAACAGTTAATAATCCCTTTTAGTCAGTTAAACGTTAACGACAGTAAAGTTTAACATTAGTTAAATAAAGTAGTTCTTTCGAAGGACGTAAAATACTTGAGTTAAAATCTGATATAAAAAATAAACTACTAGCACTAAAACGTTTACGTGCTTCTGGATACATAATTATATTTTAAATAACTTCATAGAGTATTGACGACCCAATTGGCGTAGTTGATAGTGACACTGTCTTTTGCGCTAGGGGGTGTGTGTTCGATACCCACTACTGGAAAAATATTGTGTGGAGAACATAGTGTTCTCCTAGTGTATGGCTGTTGACATCATATTTATATAACAAAACTAAATTTGTATGTAACCATAATACGAGTTTTTATTAGATTTGGACTAGATAACGTTGTATAAAATTATGTAAAATATTTATTTATTACCGCAACCAATTTATCGTAATATTGCTCCGAATTCATAAAAGAATCACGCGTGGTCAAAAACGATGTTCATGAACTTGTCGCTCAATTTAACAGGAAAACAACTGGTGTGTTTAAACACTCACTTTAAATTAGTTATGTACGTAGAAATAGTTAATTTTATCATGCGCCTGACACAATTAGTTCAATGTACCGGTACGGTAGTGATAATTTGCATAATAATCTTCCAATTTTGCGTTTGTCATCAATTCTCAAAGACATCTATAAGAGTTTGTCTCTCAAGGTGTGGATGTTAACTATTGAATCATTATAATAAAAAGTTTTTGCCAGTTAATTTATAACTTATCAGGTTTCATCTTATTTCGGTTTGTAAAATTTCTTGGTTTGACTTAGATAGCCTTATCTTCGACCTAGGGACTTGCCGGTTTTGGGTTTAATGCCGATTCCAAATTTGCTGAATTTCGGATAAGGACGCCATGTTCCCACTTTATAAGTTGGTACATGTCATTATACCGCTATACAAGCTGCTGTTTAGACAAAGAATGCCTCACATAAACAGAAACGGACGGAGATTTTGAAGCGAATGATGGGTTCGATTCTCACTACTGGAAAATATTGTGTAATGAACACAGTGTTCTTCTAGTGTCATATGGATTGTCAAATGTCTATTATATGTATTTATTTACAAAATGAAACATACATTTATCAATTAACTGATCTATAGGTATCAGTATGCCTATGTTTTTTTGACTCTATAATTGGCAATTCTATAAGGCTTGTCGACGACGAAATTTTAGGATTAATTGTTCGAACGTCAGCTATATAATTGTCATTAGGTTATCTATAGAAAGCTCTTGGTTAGTCGTGGCTATCGTACAGAGAGTTTGTGAAATTTAGTCTTTGTGAATTTTCATGGGATTAAATCCGGTCCCGGCATGCTCGCTGCGACGGTGTTTCCGAAGTCTAGATAGACCGATAAGCGGTCAGGTTTCTCGAGTGCACCCTTAGTCTTACCTTAGAGCCGCGACTCCCATTTTCTTTACCGATACGGCAAAATGTAATAATCAACTGTAATACACGATATGCTACATAACGAATAATGTCATGAGATGTTTAATTGCTTGTACGACGTCATCAGTTCTTTCTGGCTAGGAGAAAAAATATGAAGTGAAAGCATACACATTATGATTATTATTTTCGATTCCTTTTTCGTATTCGTTTTGTACTTATATCAACTCCCAGCACATCTAGAAAGAAACTATAAAACATCAGAGACAAAATGATAAACAAGTTCGATATACCTATATCTAGAAAGCAATTAATGTAAAGTGTTATTTGTTAAATGTTATATAAATTTATTTAAAATGAACTAGCAACCCGCTTTATGAACTAGCAAACTTTTCGCGTTTTATGTCATTATTTGAAAAAAAAAACTGGAACAGTTCAAAATAAATTTTCACAAGCAAAGAAAAGTGTTAAGGACAAATTCTCGATAAACAGTGAAAAATGTCTGCAATACAATTCGACTTTTACTATAATTAATTAGTATTTTACCTTGTGTCGATATCGACGTCCTCGCTGCTGTCCTCGATTCGCAATGTGTGTCAATATTGACATGTCGATGCAACTGAAATGTCCTGGCCGCCTCGGATTAAAAAAAAAGTAAAAAACGCGCCAAACAAACTTCATATCGTCATTTATTAATTATTATTACTTTCTTCTCCGTTTGTTTGTTCACCACCTAAGCGATGGTTGAAAGTATTTGTAACGCAATAACAGAATTAAAAATGTTATAATCTCTGTTTTGTAAAAGTTAATATGATTGTCATCGTAAATTCTTTCAAGCTGTCATTTTCAGGAGCCAAAAATTTCTTATTCAATAAAAAAAAATTGCATTAGGTATATAAATACACATATTAAAACATCATTGCTTTTAAGAATGTTTTATAATGCGTTCACTATTTATTTAATTTTTTGTGCAAACAATTACGAAATGTTACATTCCTTTCTTCGAGCATCGTTAATGATTGTGAGACAATTTTTAAGCATCCAGGTGTTTTTCCGAAAATTGACGACTCGTAAGAAGTTGATAATACAGGAAACAGCATACGTTTTTGGGTTTTAAATGTGATAAATTGTCTCTAATTCAATTGAATTTTTCAACCGACCGATTTCAAAATAGGAGTAGGTTCTCAATTCGGTTATAACTCCGTCAGTTATGAGACGATTTTGGAAATGCTTTTTGCATTGTATGCCGTGTAGCTAGTCATGCATGTGGTCCCATATTAATTTCATTGGATTTTTCAATATTAAATAGAAAATGTATGTTGTATTATAGTCAGTGAGATATTTGAAGTATGTTATTTTTTTGTCCATAGAAAAATATACTTGTTGGCGATAACGTACGTAAAGGTTGCGCCACACAATGCAGCTGTGCGATATCGCACATTCAGCGCATGCCTGCAGACATGTAGCTTAGTTGTTGCTATCTTGTTTTCTTTGTCTGTGCTATTGTTTGCTCCCGTCGCGTCCGAACGTCCGTGGTCGATTGATAAAAATTGTAAATAGGAAAACTTTCCAATAGATCACCGGTGACCTTATAATTTTTGTTTCAATCGCATATAGACTCAATTAAAGGAGGCGACTGTGTTCTGATAAACGATTTTACTACGCAGCTCTTATTTAATACAGGAGGCATGTTTACTTAAACGGATTTTTTTTTCGGTTACATAATTTTGCCATTCCAATGTATAATGGTTTGAATTAGGTAGAAATCCGTTACCACCTTTCAATAAACTTACAGTCCCGCTACCTCACTCACCAGACGATACGCAAAAGTATAACACTACACTTTTTTTATAACAAAGTATAAATACTCTTTTCATATTGTCGTAGTGTATGTCCATCCAAAGGTTGCCTGGAAGAAATTGCTTTAAGTAATAAGACCGCCCATTGCACAACCCTTACATAATTGTTATTTTTAATGTATTCTTTTTACCATGGTGTGTGCAATAAATGATATTCATTCATTCATTCACACCGGTCTTCCCGTAATAATTATTTGCAAGATCTACAATTAGTAATTATTATATAACTGGGTATTAGTTTATATGCAATTACTTTATTTAAAACGATCATACATTCTGGTAGAGAACACCTAAGGGTGTTAAGTCCGCCATTGTACGTTATTGTGCATAAAGTTTTTAAATAAATAAATAAACATGAGATAATTATATATATATTATTGAGATAATTTAGACTATAAGACTTACTATCTTTTATTTTAGAATATTACCAGGAAAGTATAAAAATAAAAATTTAACTCATCAAAGCCTATTAACTTTAAATTTTAATTAAAAAAAAAAACTGCTTAGTAATATACTAGAAAGAATCATCTAGTTGTGTATTGATGGAGGCATTATACTAAAATCGGAATTGCTATTGGAATATTCTAGACCATTCCATGTAATATCGACCTCTACACTATTCAGATTTCCTTGAGAACGAAAACACATTACGTCAAACCCAAAACTATTAGTAAACGTTTAAGAAACGATTAACATAGCTGCATCAATTCTTTATCATAATTAAGAATATGACAATGTGTAACTTTACTTACTCGTGTATTCATGTCATTCTCTATGTTGTAGAACAAAGCGCGAAATAAACAAAAAACCCTCAAGCAAAGCACGGTCATCCAGGTACTTCTAACCTTAAGGTTGTTCTAATGTTTACAGTATCATTTCGCTCGAGAAATATTTAAATACTCAAAGGCGGACATATTACCTACGAATATAACTCTTATTGTTATTTTATTGTCATATATTTCGGAAGCAAAAACACGTACGTTGAAAGTAATACGTAATATATAAGGTAAGTGTGATAATAAAGTAATGTATTAAAAATGTATCGTATGATCGTGCAGGAAGATGATATAAAACTATTTTAGCATTGTACTTTCTTAGGGTTCTTTTACTGCATCCATCCTATTTTTCTAATTAATAATGATATATTTTTACGACGCTCTAAGTCTGAGTTCTGTTCTGAAATGAAATATTACCTGGGCCCACAAAAATGTATACAATTTTAACTTCAGAACTTCTATGGTACCTGTTGAATGACGGTTGTGAGTAAAATGGATGAAGTTGTAAATTTGCTTCATAGAACGAGTGAGAGCTCAGATATGTAGATTTTAATAGGGTTTAGACTGAGCATTGATTTTTTTTAATGTACGAGAATTATCGTCAACTAGGCTGTTATGTAAGGTACCCTACATTAATTTAAACGCTTCCATTACTCTCAAGGATGTTCAAAACTTTTCGCGTATTCATCTGGCGTTGTCTTTCGTGAGTTTGTCAATTCCTGTAATGGTAATTGTTGTGGCAGTTTAGTGTGTCTGTGAAATAACAAAGTTCTTTTGCATAGTCAAACGAATAAAACTGTTTGGTTGTTTTGCATAAAAAAAGTTAAGTAACAGCCTATACATGTCCCACTACTGGGCAAAGGCTTCCTCTATACAGAGGGTATCAGAGCATAGTCCACCACGCGGACCTACTGCGGATTGGCGGACTTCACATATATTTTTTTTGTTATTATTTCGAAAATATGCAGGTTTCCTCAAGATATTTTCCTTCACGGCGGAGCACGTGATAAGTCAGCTCTTAAAGTTAAAAACTTCATTGTTGCCGGCACCGGGGATCGAACTCAGGTTGCTCGAGTATATTGAATTAAAGGCGAACGCCCGGACACTGAGCTATCACGGCTCCTGTTTTGCATTCCTTTATATATTACTAGCCGATCCGGCAAACGTTATTTTGTGGAATTTCCTAAAATCTGTTCTTAGCTGACCTCTACTCGGCGAAAGGAATATTTCCTACCAATTTTCAAATCTCTACGCCTAATGGTTCCAGAGATATCGTGATGAGTCAATTATCGGTGGAAATATCTTATATCTATATAGAAGAAGATTGAGCGGTATATATATCACAGTTAATTTATTATATATAGATTACCACTCGTTGCGTAACATAATTTATTGTTTTAATAGTTTTTTAATTTGCGTCTTTGTTATGTTAAATGCAGTTTTAACTGTATTTTAATGTTATCAATTGTCCCACAAACGTACACGCTGTATTGGCTATATTGACTTTTCTGCCTTCTTTTTGTGATTTGATTTAAATTGTGAAATCGAAAAAGTTAACAATTTATTACATTCAACGAGTTTCTAGATTATTTTGTGATAAATGACTTAAGCCCGGTTTCTGAAACACTGAAAACAAACTACATAAAATCAAAACAAGATACTTAACAAGATAATTTTTACACAAAGAAATATGGGTTGATCTTAAAGCTTTCTCGGAGTGGATCGAACGAACTTAATAAACAAGTCTTTTTTAAATAAAATACTGGATTTCTACGGAAAAATACATTATTATGTGTAAATTAGTTGATTTGCAACAAATATTAGGTACGAATATTCGGCGTTTAGCCGTATACCGAATATTCGGTATTCCCTTGGTAGCTGAATATTCGTTTCAAGGCTACGTACTTATATTAATCTAATTCTTAATTAAATAAATATATATAGTAAAAACCATCTCAATTGTAAATATCGAATCCGTAAATCAGATACACATATAATTATGTACGCGAATATATTAATATTAATATATTATACAATACTAGTAACTTTCCACATGTACAGATAGGAAATGAATAAACGAAAACCCGTTGTTCCTAGCCAATAATTGCTAAGTACATTTCTAAGCTGAAGGGCTCGAGAGTCTTGGCACCTACAATGCTCCCAATTAGAACGGACAGGCTGGTGGCTCTACGCCCACCGCAAATCGACCCTCCGCGGAAGAAAGCTTGTTAACATAACCCAAGCCGATAATAATTAGCAAATGGTCACTGTAAAGACACAATCCACTCTGTGTGGTATTAAAATACATACTCAAATTAGTTAGTTTTAGACATGACACTTAGTTAAAAGATTATGAATATAATTGTTAATAATTTATTGACATATGGTTCTAAAACTCAAGCTCAAATTTGAGTTTCTCGTCAGCCGTTGTAGCGTGCGGAAGAATTAGCTAATTGCACAGTCGACGGACATCGGGGTTGCAGTCCGAACCGCGACCTCGATGGCCTTTTGATGACACACCATAGTTAAATGCACGCATGAGCACATGCACGACCCTACCCACAGCGAAGAGCCCAAACCCGTGGGTTCTGGCTAGCCCACCGGTTCTGGGTCAGATGAAGCTTTAATAGTCTCGGGACTGAAAGCAAAAACATCAGTTAAGACAAGATACAAGAAGCGTGCAGAAGCTCTACCCGAATTAATAAAAATCGTGTTAGTTACTTAGAACTGTAATTAATATCTACGTAGTTTAACTCACTGGCCACTAAGTCAAAAGACGTAGTCACACACTTCTTTTTAAAAAATCGATTATCGTTTCTATTCTAAGAATATATTAAAAATATATTGTCGGATCGTTTGAAAAAAGAA